GGTGTGAAGGCAATCTTTCTGACTTTTCTTGCATGTCATTAAATGGTTTTAAATTTTTCATACACGCATAAATAAGTAAACATTTCTTGCTTCATATCTAAACTTTACCTTCAGTATAAATTATGTTTCGCCTTTCATTTCCACTTCTGCCTTAATGTTAAAGAGAGTTAGTGGCATTACAGGAGCATGTTTTGTATAATCTTATTCTGCCTTTTCAGGTCGACCAGCACGTGTGAAACTTTTGACGCGCATTAAAAATAAATGGCATGGTGAAGTTTTAATGATTTAAAAACATTAAAATTTGCATCCAGTCAGAGCCAGGGAGACTATCTGTACTTGGAAAGCGTTTGTTCATTTGAGCTTGGATCAAAGGTAAATGTTTTATACGCGGGTGAAAAAAACTTGATTTATAATTTATAAGGAAGTTGTGATTCATGCTGTGCTTTTATAATGTTTTCTACCACTTTGTCAGCTCTGAATCCCATGTTTTGTGCCTATTTTAACCTTTTTTCTTGTTCAGAGCACTTTGAAGTGAAAGTTACAATCTTTCATTAGGCCTTTCTGAAACTTTTACACCGTTAAACTTCCTGTAATAACTGCTTAATCTTAGATGTGGAAGGAGTCTGGTTTTAAGCTACATTTGAGATGTACAAAAATTTATGATAAAGTGCATTTTAAAATTGGTGTCTGGTGCTTTTCTGGTTAGTTTTCTTTGTATGCATCAGATTTTTACACATCTTGATCCTGGTATATATTGATACTGTTTACTGGTGGTTATGTGATTAATTTATTCTAGATTAAACTATATTAATTGTTCTATCTTGTGTTTGTCTTTAATGTTCCCAGAGTCATAATCCTGCTCTAGGAAGATCCTAAGAGGGTCTGGTAAAGTTTTCATTCTCCAAATGACACATTTTTGTTGCATTTAGCAAACAGAAAATGTTTTGGTTACCCCAACTTAATGACTTAATGTTTGAAAATGGTAACAGTTTTATACAGTTTGGAAATATCTGGTTTCTACTGTAGTAAAAACAAATAACTCATGATGTGGATCATTAAAACCTACCATCAATGGATAAAATCTGGTCTCAACGAATGCCAAAAAAGTACATTTATTTAGACCAGAATGAATCACTTTATTTAGTACACCTAACACGATGCTACCATTATAAAGAATATTCCTTCAGTTAAAGAATTTCTGCAATTTTTTTTTACTTTCAGTAAGTCTCTCTATGAAAATAAAAATATTGCAGCAGAGTTTGACAGGAGCTGGAAAGACATCAGTACACTCAGTCCCAAAGATCTTCTTGTACGATCTTATTTCAGCACTGCAGATTGAATTAAATCCCCAAAAGCAGGAATGGAAGCAGAACCCTCAAGTTTTTGCCTCTTATAGAACCAGCTTCAAATTTAGATGGGAAGATATGATCTTTGCTTCTAATTTTGCTCTGAAATTATTCCCCAAAGCTGCTATGTGTTCTCTCAGTGTCCCTTACTGCAGCCATTTCTGTGTTTATCCTCACCCTCATACTGTTTGCTCTGTTTTTCTCTTCTTTCTTCCTGTGCCCTCTCTGCAACTGGTCGAAACAGATGGCGGCACCTTGTTTTTTTTTTTTTTTTTGGCTCACTTTCTGTGAGAAGTTTAACATTTAGGGATGAACTGAGAGCTAAACCAGGAATAGATGATTACAAGGTAAAAGCCATACTCTGTACCCTGGTTTT